AAAGTGTAAGTTCATTCTTATCATGAGTGTTTTGTATCTATCCAAGTGATATACATTAGGCATGCGTATGCTAATGCATCTAATATGTTCAGGTATGTGCAAGGCATATTTTATTCTCCTCATCCAAGCAAAAATAAAAAAAGAAAGAAAAAAAAGTAGAGAATAGGAGAGAAAATAATGCCTCTTAAAAATCATTTCATCTTGAAAGTTGATTTTCTAAACCATATGTGCCTTCAGTGGATCAGGATCTACGTTTCAGTTATTCTAAATAGATGGAAAGTTGCCAGCAACAAGAAAATTCCATGGTCAAAGACAGATTTCTTTATGCCCAAGAAGTGAAACTCAAGTCGGCACTAAAAAATTTGGGAGGAAAGGAAAATGAAAAGATAACAAAATCTAATTCTCTCATTCGTGAATCTCAGAAACAATATAACAAATCAGAACTTCCTCTACTAAAAAAAATTAACGGAAGACATCAAGAATATCCATAGTTGTAAAGAGAACTTTTTTTGTGCAAATAAAGAAAAGAACTTAAATCAACCTAGCTTCCATCGATCTCAATTGGGAACTAAAGTGTTTGATCATAAAATTTGATACTCTTCAAAAATTGTAAAATCACAAGCATTACCTGTGTATGGTAGCCTGGCCATCAGTAAAGTCAGCAGTTGCCTGCCATAGTGTGTGCTTTCTTGGCTGAGGGTTTGTCTCCCGGAAGAAAAGGGGCTGCCTAGCCAACTACAGAAAATATAACCAACAAATGAAAATAGGCTTTCACTCAACATATACAAAAAGTCCTGCATAAAAATGCACAAACTCTCGTGCATAAAGAGGGAAAGGACGCAAGTCAAGCAGAAGACAGAAATAAGAAGTTCGTACCACCACATTTAATGTACCAGGTCCGTTATCAGGGCAGTGTGCCTTTAAGGCCATGATATCAGACCACTGGATTTCTATTTTACTCTTCAATCCACCTTCAAGAATTTCCCATACAAGCTTATGCTTAGCAAAATAACATTTTGCCACCAGATCACCTTCATATCTTGATTTATACTGTCAACAAACAAGACCTAAATTACTTGATATCCACAACATTATCCAATCATTAGAATCACAGGGGAGATCGATTTTACCTCCCAACCTCCGATTCTTAGAAGTGTCGCAGGAAAGTTTGATGCCTTCAGCTTGTCAGTGGAGCCCGAAACAGCAGTGCCTTTATTTTCCTTTATTATTGAAGAGTTGAAGCTTTCACATTCCGCCACATCACTTGAAGTAGCAGTTGATTGAGAAAGCTTCATTTGGATTAGATCCAACAGTGAAGGGCTCTTCCTCAATCGCAAGCCAAGAGGGCTAGGCTCATCAAGCGGATTATATTGTGAAGGCGGTACAGGAAAATCTTCGGTTCCATCACTCTGCTGCTTCTCGTTAGACAAGATCGAGCAAAAAAGGGCAAACAAAAAAACCAAAATCATTTCAACGGATGACAAATCACAAATTAAAAAAAATTTCCGTAACTATTCAATAATCAAACGCACATAATCTCGCTCCCCAGAAGTAAAAAAAAAAAGAACAAAAAAACACACACACACATACACACACACAGAGAATGAGCAGAAAATTTCATTTCCATTCACTGGGATGCCGAAAAAGCATTCAGAATACCAATCTCGATTAAAAAAAATGGAAGAATAAAAAACAGGATAATGTTCAATTAAAAAAAAAACCATTCATCTTCATAAAATATTTCGCTGAAAAATTTTCCCTCCCGCAGCATTTCTCCGTAACCTATTAGAAGAAAAACCGATTCCACGTACCGGTGGAAACGCCGACGCCGTCGCCGTCTTCGATCGCTTGCGGAACGGACCATGCTCCTCTTCAAGAGAGTCCTCGATCTCCAGCTTCACCGGTATCTTGTCGCGAAACGACGCCATCTCCGGCTCCAGAGGACGGTTCCCGGATTTCATCAACTGCACCATCAAATTCTTCCTCTTTTCCCCCTTTTCCAGATAGMAAAAACTGAAATCAATGGCGAAAATCCAAACACAGCTCCAAAATTAATACAAGAACGAAACCCTAGAACGACGATCTGTGACCAAAATGGATAGGAAGGCGAAAGACGACGGAGATTCTGAAAGCTCAATTTTTTCTTGTTATTTTGTTTTTTTTTAAAAAATAAAAAGAGAGAGAAAGAGAAATAGAAAGAGAGATTTTTGGGAAAATCTTAACGCCGTTCAGATGAGGGATCGGGTCGCGTTGGCGGTGTCTTATTTGACGGCGATCACGTGTGGTGACACGTGCGGTCGGATTATAAATAGATAATTCGCCTTTGTTATATACATGTATGTATTGATAAGTTATAATGGATGTTTTTTTTTTTTGAAAAGAATTATAATGGGTGTTAAAACTAGTTGTGAATGGTCATATTTGTAAATTTGTTACAGCGAAAAAATTAATTAAAAAAAAATTGTGCATTCATTTAGACTATTTTAATGAAATTCTCTTTTTTACCTCTTGTATAGTCGTGGGTTGTTACATAAAGTATGGATAAAGTCTCCTACAGAGAGTCGTCTTAATCCCTCCGTACTATGTTTCGAGTGTAYCCCAACTATGGCTTAACGAGAGTTGAGACAGTCTTATCATCGAGTGTGCTTCATCTCATATACATGTCCGCTTCGTAATTGAACGTCAGTCTTCCATTAAGTGTCCGATGAGACCAAAGTCGAACCTAACCATTGAGCCCGATGATTGTGTATGTATCCTATTGGGAAGAACAAAAGGTCCTTATAGATGTTTATAATAGACATGCATGATCGAGATAAGTTTGATTGTCTTTTAAAACTTTCAAATTTTATCTATTTTGGTTGAACTTAAAACCGTGTCATATTCACAAATTATATTATCGAGCTAGATGAAGTACGAATAAAGAGTAGCTCCTGACACATTTTTTAGTTAAATGATTCATGAATGAATGAATGGATATTGCATTAAGATGAGAGGATTTTAAGATATTACAAGTGTAGAACATTAGTTGAAGACAATTGAAAAGAACCAATGGGTAGRGGTATTTTTTCAATATGTTACAAAAAGATTGTTCTTTTACAAATCGAATTAAGGTACCTTTGTCGTGCCTTAAACCAATTATCTCWTGATATCATAACTCCCAAAGTAATATAAAAGCAATTTGAAAAAAAAAATAAATCAAAAGCACTTAAAATGTTTTTTTATAAATTAAAGCACTTGGGTGTAGTTTGTTTTAGGGATCTCGAATGTTTAGATACCTGACAATATAGATGTCTAATATCTTTAGATAACCACGTTTGTTTTATAGAAAAATTTATAATGATGTATGAGRATATTTGAATAGTAACATAATCGGCAAATCCAAGATGTACTCCTACAAGTAAAGGGAATCTGAATATATAAGGGAGTCTGAATATATATTGATTGTGTTTGAAAGGTTATGAATCGAATGATAAGTCCAATACCAATGTCTTGATTTCTAATGCCAATGCATTGCGACCCCATATATATATATCGTTCGCTAATATACGACCAATTAATGTTTGGATAAATATTCTTTCCGAAACCATCCTATCTCTAGGACTCACTAAATTCCCTTGTATGTTTTTTTTTTTGTAGAATTTCTAGTTTGGGATGGTCCAAATGTTATATATTTGTTCCAAACAACCTTTTTTATGTCTTTATTAAATTTTTTTAATCAATTTAATTTATATTAAAGTTAAATATTATTTGTAAACTACATTCATTTATATTAATTTGATTTTTTTTAAAAAAATTTAATATTAACCGTTAATTCCAATTTTAATTTCCATTTTTTTCTCAAAAGAAAATTATATAATTGATGGCCTTTTTATAAAATTAAAATTAAAGATAAAAAAATTGATGAAAAAATATTAAAAGAAATAATTAAGAGAAAAAATGTAATGAGAAGATACGCTGACATGGAAATCTAGAAAACTCATGTTTCAAAAGGGCATTAAAAACAAGTTGGATGCCTCATCATCCTATTTGCATTGTAAAATGTTGTATTTCTATGCTTTAAGGAATGTTTTGGTTTAATTATTATTTTTTAGTACAACAACATGTGAGGGTGGGGATTCGAACCCACGACCTTCTGATCGATAACATATGTCTTAATCAATAAATTATGTTCAGGTTGATATAAGTAGAATTTTAAAATAAGTACCATAAGCTACACTACACATTCTATTTTGAATAATGAAACGTAAATTAAATAAAATGTTTTTTTTTACTGGGAAAACAAACAAACAACRAACAAAGACAACACAATTATCAAATTAAATGAATTCCCACGTGCAAAACAAGCCCTAGATCCTCTCGGGGGGATTGTACCGACATAAGTGAATCTCATGTTTTTGAATTAACTGTACGGACACCCATGCCCTGATATCGTTATTCTCCAGCTTTTATATGCTCTGACTTGACAATGCTTTGGCTTTTCCTCTCTGGTTCAGCACTTCTTTCTTTTCTCGGCTCTTTCTTTAAAAACCTGTGCAAAAGAACCACAAATTCGAGAGTTTATGCTGTTTTTGGCCAAAGTTCTCAAGACTAAGTATATTTAGTTTAGAATTTGCAATTAAATACTAATTATGACCTAAAACCAACACACTTTGTCATTTTAATGTACATTTTCGCCCAAATAATCACCAGAATAACTCTCGTTTGGAGAGTTATCAATCTACTAGTAGTATCCACCTTTCGTTTGTTCAAATTTTCTCTAGTGGGAAGAAATTTTAAAATTCTTATAAAGTCTCCACCAGAAAATTTTAATCTTCGTTGGGATCTTRGAGCTCTAGAGACATTTCCACCAACTCTCATTCTGTGATGTATCGGAAAAACTAGCCCTAGGTTTCCTGGAATTGGTCACATGGTAACCACTATTTACAATGAAGTTATCATCTTTCGTAAACTACCACAACAATCTGTTAGGTTGATCACCTCTTGGAAGGATGACATTACAAATTCTCTCCACCTCCTCTTCCTCAAATAATTTGCAGAGCAGGGGCACATTCCATTGCCTGTTGTCATCGATAAGATTGGCCACCAGAAAGTCTTCATTCGCATTCCCCCTGTTCTGAATTCTTGGGGTCGAGTTACTAGGGATCCACCGATCGTACAATGCTGAAATGCACTGCCCATTCCCCACACGCCATCTTATCCCAGTGCGTAAAAGATCCTTCCCTCACATAAGACTTTTCTCCATATGAAAGAAGCATTTCGCTTATAAGATGCCTAAAGAAAGGATGAATTCCTAAAATATTTGCATTYAAGGACTCTAGCTGCCAAAGAGTTGGGTTTAGTAATAATTCTCCATCCTTGTTTTGCCAATAGGGCTGGGTTAAAGCTTTCCATCCTTGTTTTCATAAAATAAAATGTTGTTGATCAATATAGTTGATTTCAATTTTGCACTAATGTTGGAAAGGTTTAGGACACTATATTTAATAATATTTTGAATTTAATTACTTTTAAAAATAAATAAATTTGTTTACTGATTTTTTAAATCTACTTTTTAGGAATGTATTTAGTATTSTAACTAAAATTCSAAGGCTAAAAAGGYCTTAAACTTTTAAAATGATTCTTAAAAAGTAAAGAACTAATCGAAAACATATATGTGTTTGCATAAAAAAAATGAAACTTTTCCAATTTCCATATAGGATAATTGGAAGATTTTTAGTTTTAAAAAACATTTTATTTTTTAAAAGTTAAACTACTAGTGGTTACAAATTCTATCATAACTTTAAAATATAACTAATAGGGCTCTAATTTTTAGAAAGTGACGTGTAAGTCATTAAACTTTCAAAATCATGTGTAATAGATTTTTAAACTTTAAAAAAATTTTACTATATTTTTTAACTTTTAATTTTGTATTTAGACATTTTTAAAATTCAGTGATATATTATTCAGAAAATTGACTTTTGTGTTTAACAAATCATTTTTCTTTTAATTTTGTATCAAAATAATTTTAAAAATTCATTGATAACATAAAATTGAAAGTCTAAACACAAAAATCAACCATCAATTAGATATTTTTTAAAGTTTAGGAATTTGACACAATGAAAGTTGAGAGGTTTGTTATAACTAAGAAGCCTATAAAACAGATTTTATAAGTTTAGAGACCAAATTTATAATTCAATATATATATATTTTTAAATAATTAAATTACTGAGATGGATGATAGAACACAACAAAAAAAAATATAGTGACTGAAATCTAGGGAAAAAAATTAATTAATTAATTAATTTAGAATATTATCCCATTTGGAAAAAAAGGAAAAAGGAAAAGTAATCTAGTTACCTAGAATGCCCTTCATGACAGAGCCAGTCAGGCTTGAAAAAGAGATATTCAAGGAGTATTTTCGTCATTTTGCAACCTGGGTGGTGCAAGGATGAGCTGGCAGACAGATGCGGACAAATGGATATAGGTGGGTCCCACAAATTCCCATGAAACAATTGCCACGTGGACGGCGGTCGACAAGTCTGCAGGAGAAGTGATCAGATGCGGACGTCATGTAGATTCGTGCGGTGGGTCCTCATCGGTTATTGGTCCACGTAAGCTCAACGTCCAATCAACAATCATTGTAAGTGAGCAGAAACAGAGTTCGGATTTATTTGGTTTTTGTTTGGATTAAAGTGCGTCCAAAGATGTTGAAAAATAAAATGGAATCTCTCTCTTTATTATTATTTTTTAAAAATATATAAAATTACAAATGTGGTCGTAAAAATTGAAACCTTTGTTCCTCGTCATTAATATGTTTGCTCGCGGTAATTGTGACCTCTCGGGAGAATCGATGACTGCATCAAAGATGCACTTGCTAGTACTAGTACATCTGAGAATTCTTAATTGGCTAGTTGTAAATAGACCCAGACTGTGGGACAAAGGATTATCCCGGACCTACACCGAACGATAGAAAAAGAAATTTACTAAATGTCTTTTTCTCAACCGGCAGGGCTATGATCAAATTGACTTTTTCATATTTCTTTATCGTTAAATTACAAATTTAATTACTATGATTTTAGAAGTTTCAATTGACTTTTCCATATTTCTTTATCGTTAAATTACAAATTTGATTACTGTTGGTTTTAGAAGTTTCAATTTAGTTTTTATAGTTTTGACTGAATTTTATTTTACTCTTTATAGATTTAAGAGTTTCAATTTGGTACCTATAGTTAAATCTAAAAAAATCTCATGAACGATCTTTTTTAGAACATAAAATTTGTAATATTATTAACTTAATCGAGGAGCTATTGGTATCTTAATCATGACATGCTTAGATTTGACCCTTCTCTTAAAAAAGACTTGAAGCTAGTCTCTACTCTTTTATGGAATTTACTTTTTGAACTTTTTATTTTTACCTTCACTGTATTAAAAATTCTCATTAAAAGAAAATTAAAATTTGTGAATAAATTGAATTATTGTTTTATTAACATATTTTAATATTATAATATGTCATTTAGATGTTATTTGTTATACATCATCAAAATTGGACCCACCCATCAATAAGATTTTTTTTCCTCCAAGTGGCATTTGATCTCAAAATTTTCGCTTTTGTAGAATTGGGTCACCCAAAACGATTATGGAATACTTGAATTTAATAGTTTTCTTTTAAACATTCTACAAGACCATGTTGTTAGAATATTTACATATTTTAATAATAAAATATAGACCACATATTAATATAATTATATTATTGGGCTATTAATTGGATCGATTAAAGTGATCTATAATTTAATGAATCTATAAATCTATAGACTTTCACTGTAAACTCGTAGTCTTAATTGGTGGTGTATTTTAGTTAAGATCCAACACAATTGGTTTTTATTTTTTATTTTTTTTTTGCAACCCAACACATGTAACACATTTTTTTTCAAAATTAAATATTCTATTTGTTTCATTGAAGGTAAGAATACATTCGTTCACCTTTCTTGTTTGATCATTTAATTATTTTTTAATTTAAAAAATAATAGACTCTCTTATTCACGCGAATGAAAATATAATTTTGAGGGCCTAGAAAAAAAAATTTGGCAGAGGATCCAAAGAAAAAGAACAAAAGCAACCACAAAATGAACTTGTTATTAAAATAATTTTTAATAGTGAATCTTTTTCCTTAATTCAGCTATTTCTTAATCTCTAAGTATATTTAAATAATGTATTGAGGTTAATGTGCTTATTTTTTTATGACTTTTTCAAACAAATTTCAATAATATTAAGAAAAAACAAAGGGATAACTTTTTTATGTCTAAAAAGATTTGAACTCAAATAAAGTATTCTAGTAGCATAGTGATTATAATTATGTAAGCTAGACAATCTTGCAATTATTATATAAAAAAAACTATATTGTAAAAATATAATATGAACATAGTCTATATAATTTAGAGAATTTATACAAAAGAAATGTTAAATCAACTAGACTTTGGTAGGTGAACTATCATTGATAGACAACTATACAAGTCGATTATGTTACATATGTGGTTGCATTCAAAAGTTAATATATATATTATCCAAACTCCTAATTCCGATTTAAACTTTGTCTTTCACAAATAAGGATTTTGGATCCATGTATTTTCAACTTTAGTTTATTTAATCCCAATACTTCCAAACTTAAATTCACTATATTTTCAAATTGTTTGTTTTGGACCCTATACCTTTAAAAAGTGGTCATTTTGATCTCTTTTTATAAAATTTTAACATAAATTTTATACGCAATAGAATCCCTTTAATACAACTTTATGACTATATCTCAAGAAATTACAGAGACCAAAATGAACGTTTTGAAATTACGAGGGCCAAAATGGACCAAAGCTGAAAGTAAATATACTAAAATATTATTTATATTGATAAATAAAAACAAAATCGAACGAAATTTTAGTATAATAAATGAAAGAAAATCACAAACTTAGAGGAAATATCAATCAATTGTAAATTATTAAAGGCCCATTCGATAATGTTCTTGTTTCTTGTTTCTATTTCCTCTATTTTAATAAAGAAAAATAGAATTGCATGGATCCCTACTACCCATAGATTCAAGAACGATGAAACAGAAACGGAAACAAGAAACAATAAACTTATACAAATTTGAACCTGTTTCTAGAAAATAAAAACAACAAACATAAGTAGTTACAAGAAACGAGAGACATTTTTTAAACAAACGAGAGACATTTTTTAAACAAACGAGACATTTTTTAAACAAACGAGACATTTTTTAAACAAACGAGAGAATTTTGAGTTACAACAAACATAATTACTACCATCTAAGTAGTTACAATTTTGAAACTGTTTCTAAAAAAAAAACTTAGGTTTCTTAATGAAATTTATTTGTTTCTTAATGAAATTGTAAATGAGAGACAAGAAACCAGAACGTACCAAACAAGCTCTAAATTACTCTCGAAAATGTGAGATTACTTCCAAAGCAAGACAATATAAATCACCTCCAACTTGCTCCTACATTCTGCAAAGATAAATCAAAAGAAAAGATACAAGGACAAGTTTTCAGAAACAATCCTTAACTTCTCCAAACATTATGAATCAGAGTATCAGAAAAAGGTAAAAAGTAAAACAACAATTACAACAATCATAAAAGAAGCTTTCAAAAATTTAGAAAACAATTCGTCGGTTTCATTTCAACCACACTCATCGAACCATAAAACCTAAACTTTATGTACTCGATTTATGAAGGGTACCTAATCAGAAGAACAAGGTATTTTTTCCCCTATGCATTCAAGCTTTAAGCAATCACTTGGCTATTACCTTTATTCCATAGGCTTTTGAAGAAACTAATAGTATGGTATGAGCCTGGCCAAGAATCTTTACAGAAAAAAGATAAAAGATAACTGTAAAATAAGGCTAAGGGAGTTTTCAGCTGCTTTACTTCATTCAATATGACTGATCTTCCTGCATGACAAATACTACAGAGGTGCTTGCTCTAAACAGTTGTTTCATGCCATATTCCTTGTAATGATCAATTTTTTTAAAGGAAAAAAAATATGAAAAACAACCGTACAAATCAGTGACATTATGCTCCTATTTCACAAGCACCAACGTGGATTTGACAGTACTGGAAAAATAGTAGCTCTTGCTATGCTGCTCGACCACAATAAGGTACCAAAAGTTGTGTGTAAGGTAAGCAGTTCTTATTCTTGTAAAAAACGATCGGCAGTGAAGAAGATACATATTTCTCAGAAGCCCCCATTAAAACTAAAAAGTTACAAATTTTGCTTGCAATTTAAGTGTATGTCGGGGAAGATTGCTTCTTTGTTTTCTTTTATATGTGTGATTTGGCTTTCTGAATTTGTTAACTTTGATCCCAGTTACATAATCTTCAGAACTTTGTTTTCTGTATTTCACTCATTTTGAAGCCTCACAAGCCTCCAAGCTATCTCTACAGGTATGACATTCAAATCCAACTTCTTTCTTCTTTCTTGGCATTCAAATATTTAAAGTTTTGTTCCATTTCTTTTAAAGTGCTGTGTGTCTCTGTGGTGTTGGAGGTGTGTATGTGGAGGGGGGATTCATCAAGGAAGGTGGTGATTCTAAAATAACAATTGAAATCTGTTCTATTTTGTAGCAGTTTTCGTGTATTATTCACTTCTTTTCAACGTATAAAGGGATCATAAATGAAAGGCAATATATTCTCTGCAATACTTGAGCAATTCCTCCCGAGAAAAATCAGTTCCCTATGGTTTAACTATGGCATTGAGTTGCTAGCATTGGCAAATTTGGTGTTCCAAATTATCCTAACTTTCAATGGATGTTGTAGAAGGAAAAATGCTGGAAAAAAGCTCAGATTATCTGTTTGGCTTGCCTACTTACTGGTTCCTAAAGTTGCGGTCATCGTTCTGGGCAAGCTCATGACAATTGATATAGGCTATACCGAGCGCAACACGCTGACCCAAATTCAAGCATTGTTGGCACCTTTGATGTTGATGCAGATAGGAAGTGCAGATACAATCACAGCCTACTCAATTGAAGACAATGATCTAGGAGTGAGACAAGTTTTCAGCATGATGATGCAAGTGGTAATTATGTTTTACATTCTTGGAAGGTCGTGGACAGATTTCAAAAGCAACTCAGGCTTCACATATGCAGATTTCTTCCAATATGACGAAGCAGTTAAGTTTTTAGAAAGACTAGAGGGAGGTAATGAACTTCCAGATGCAAAATTGATCTTGAGAGCTTATTGTAGATTTTGCTGGCTCAAACCTCATCTTGAGAATTGGCATCCCTCTCCTACATCGAATGTTGATCTCCAAAAACTATCCATTGAAGACTGTGAGTATGAAGAGGTGTTCAGAATTACAGATTCTGAATTGGGTTTCATGTACGATGTGCTCTACACTAAGGCACCCGTTGTATATCCAGGTTTAGTTCTTCGTTTTATTAGCTTCATCAGCTTGATTACAACACTATGTGGATTTTCAGTGTTGTTCAAGGATGGATTTGTCTATAATATTGGCGCTGGCATGATCCATTATGTGTTGATAACATGTGTGATACTTGAGGTTTATCAGATCTTGAAACTACCATTCTCAGATTGGGCAATAGTGCAGATGATACGGCACTATGAAACCTTTCCCATCCTTTGGCCTTTATTGCGGTCTCTAGCCCCTACATCAGCAACTTGGATAAGGTGGTCTAACAAAATGGGACAGTTCAATCTTATAGATTTCTGCTTATGCAAGAATCAGAACTTTAGCAGAATCAAAATTCTTCGACATTGGGGCTTGGATATGAAACTCCGAAAGCAATTAAATTTGGGACAAATTGAAGTCCATCCAAAAGTGAAAGAACTTGTGGTTAAGGAACTGAGAGAGGTAGAGAAGATCAGAAAACAAGACAAAGACGAATTCACTAAAGGAGGCGAATGGACAATCCAAAGGTACCAAAAAGAACTCGAACTCAATGAAGGAAGCAGATTGATCCAACGACTCACAACAACTATAACCAAGAGACCCTTTGATAAAAACATCGTCATATGGTTCATCACAACAAATATTTTCAGTAACCACCCCGATTATGAGGACACTACTGAAGCTTCTCAAATGGCTGCTATCATGCGTATATCAGATTACATGATGTACCTTTTGGCTGTTCGTTCCCACGTGCTATCCACAACAACTGCAGATATCTTATTTCAATATTGCAGCAAGACGCTCCAAATGTGGTTGACAAGGCAAAAATAAGAGGTCTTGAATGATATTTTGAGTTTACATCAACATCCCACTTCTGACTCTAAGTTTACACAAATTCTGACATCAGAAGAGGAAAAGGTTATAGGGAATTGGAATCTGCTGAAAGATGTAAATGAACTTGCAAATAGCTTACTCACTCTGCCCAACAACGAAAAAAGATGGAATTTAATTGGTAGTATGTGGGTTGAGATGTTGGGATATGCTGCAAGTAAGTGTGAAATGGAATATCATGCAGAACACATCAGACAAGCTGGTGAATTGATCACTCATGTTTGGCTATTGATAGCCCACCTTGTATACTATGTGATTTAGGCTTTCCTTGTAGATCTAGATTGATACCTAATTTCTAGTTTTTGATTGAAGATAAACTTGTATATATTTTTCATTCTATAGTCTTGAGAAATAAGAAGAAAACTTTCTCATATATCTTCATGGTATCAGAGCTTGAGAAATAAAGTTTCTTTTTCAAAACCCTAGCTGTCAGGAAATAAACCCTAGTTTTACCAACCCTAGCCGTCAGGAAATATTCACGGCAGAAACCCAAGCTGTCATCAGATCCACCTCCGGCGAACTCTTCACGGCAGCTCCGTCGCCGTCGATCCTCTCCATCGCGACGTCCTTCACGGCCTCTCCATCGCCGGTGGCCTTCATCGCGAACAGAACATCCCGACAGCCTCATCCCGCACAGATCCAGCACATCCCGACCTCCGCAATCCGGCGAACATCCCGGCAGTTGCATAGATCCAGCCGGTCTTCATCGTGAGCAAGTCTCCATCTGCCGGCCTCCGCGATCCGTCCCCGCACAATCGGCTTTCGTGATTCTTTCTTCGCCGACATCACTATCTTCAAATCTGCTCAGATCTGTTACTAACGTCGCTGCTCGTGCCGCCGCTCATACTGCCACTGCTGCCATCGCCGCCATTCTCACAGAAGCAGAAATACTCGATCTTTGTTCACTTCAGATCTGTTTTTTTGTTTTCTTTTGTCCTCTTTTTTTTTCCCCAGATCACCTTTGTTCGTAGATCGATTCGCTATGGCAGATTCGGAATCAGAATCTCAGAATAATATCCCAATTTTTCGCGAAAGCAGCAACACTCAGATAACATGCCATGAACTCACCGGCCACAATTATCTTCAGTGGTCTCAATCAGTGAAGATGTTCATGTATGGTCGTGGATTGGAGGACCATATCACAGATAAAGCAGAATCACCAAAATCTGATGATCCAAAATTTCGCAAATGGAGGGCTGAAAATAATCAAGTAATGAGCTGGTTAATAAACTCTATGGCAACCGAAATTGGAGAAAATTTTCTCCTATTTTCTACTGCCAAAGAGATTTGGGAAGCTGTTCGTGATACTTTCTCCAATAAGGAAAACACTGCTGAAATTTTCCAGATAGAGACTACT